GGCAGGCGGGCTCCCAGGCCGGCGGGTGGGCTCAGCACCCGCACCGACAGGAGCACGGTGCTGGCGCAGCTGTCACCGCCGCTCCCCGAGAACGAGTCCGAGCCCGAGTCTGTTCGCCGCCGCTTCCCACTCCGCCGCAGAAGATTCATCGCGAACCCTCCCGGCAGTTTAGGGCAAGCCCGGGTCCCGGCCCCCTCCCAGTGCGCAGGACCCCGGGCTGGTGACAGCTGAGGCCACCATCTTCCCGCCCTGGCCTTCAAACTCAGGCCTCCCGGCCCGCCCCGGAACCATAGAGTTCTTCATGGCGAGAGTAACCTGAGGGCCACAGAGTCGTGCGTGAGGAGCGGCTCTCGCGGGCGCCAGATCAGCCGCCTTCCGCCTCTGTGGTTGGTCTGCGTCGGGGACTGCAGTGGGTTCTAGATACGGAGATGGGAAAAACAGGATCGGCGTTTATAATTGGACTGGTCTGAAAGTTTTCCTCCTCTTTGCGTCCATTTCCTGTTTGAATAGGAAAGTTATGCTAACCTTTTATAATGAGCTGCTTATAAATGGATCTGCGTAATAGCTATGTCGCTGGACTCCCATGTAGTTGAACTCGGTTCGAGTCCCGGACCCGGTGGCTTAAACTCATGCGGGGCGCATGTGCACGTGAAGATCCCGAGAGGAGAAGGAATTGTGGCGTGACCATTCCCCCCTGGGGGTTGATTTCTCGCTTTCTCTCTCAGCCTTTCTGGCGAGCGCACCCACCCTATAGCAAAAACCTCTCCCAAAATAAATAAATAGATAGATCTAAAGTAGCTCTTTTTAACATAGTAGTATTTAAAAAAAAAAATTCTGGTTTATGTTTGCCAAACATTAAACAAGAAAGCCTAGTGTTCTAGTGGAGCATAATTTTCTTCTCTCCTTGTACATGATGGTAAGGGAGGGAACATTTCTGTATACACTTTTTGTTTTAGACTCATACCCAGGAATACAGGAAGAGCTTTCCTACCTTTTAGATAGCTGAAAGGGTGCTGCTCTGGATGTGCCTGAGGGATTGTTCTCTGCCAAGATCCTGGAATGTACACGTGCCCTGCCTTTTGACAAGGTGGAGTCAAATGAGTTCTGGGTAAAGTGGAGCCCATTAAATATCTGTTCTACCATTTATTTCACCAAGCTAACCTAGTAGGTGACAGTCCTACCCTGCCCCAAATGGCAGCTATTCTAGAGCATTGAAGATCTCCAAAAGAGCAAGGCCAATAAAAACAAAAATGAAGACCAATCATGTCGGAGAAATGGCATTTGAGTATCAATTCGTTTGTGAAAAAAAAATAATTAGCTAGTGCAGTATTCTAAAATTCCACAAGATGGAGACATTACTCCAAAAGGAAACATTTTTCTCAGTTACCTTTACTTTTTATTCATTCACTATTAATTGAGCATCTACCATATGCTATTCTCCTCTCGGGATTTTGGGCACACATGCAGCATGCATACCTACCCAGCGTGAGTTTTAAGCTGCTGGATCCGAGACTCAAACCACAGTCAACTATGTGGGAGTCAAGTGATGTAACTGTTATGCCATCTGCTGGGCCCAGCACTCACTTATCTTTTTCCTTTTTTTTTTTTTTTTTTTTTTTTTTTTTGGGGTTTTTTGTTAAAGCCATCCCTTCTCCTCCATTCTCCTCTCGGGATCTTGGGCACGCACGCACATGCGTCCGGCGTGAGTTTTAAGCCACCAGGTCCGGGACGTGAACCGCGGTCAACTATGTGGGAGTCTAGCGACATAGCCATTATGCTAACTGCTGGTTCCCTCCTTTCAGGATCTTGAGCATGCACACACCCAGCATGAGTTTAAGCCACCAGGTCCGGGACTCGAACCACAGTTGACTACATGAGAGTCCAGTGACATAGCCATTATGCCAACTGCTGGTCCTGGGTCCAGCACTTTTCTAAAATACAGAAGTAGTACAGTGATGTTAGACACCAGAACTGGGTTTAGATAGGCTCATCCTCATTGTCTCAATGTACAGAATGGAGAGGTCTCTGCTTTATTTATCAAGGATGCTGCCCTTCTTGAGCTTTGACTTTATACAGCCAGTTTAAGATCTTATTTCTTACCCTCTAGGACCCCAGACTCCTAGCCTAGAGAGCCCAATGTTATTAAAATCCACATTCCAGACCACCAAGGATCAGCAGGCATCTCTACAGAAAACTTTGGTTCTAGTGCTTCATTTAGTCCTCTAGATTATATTTATTTGACATTTCTGTCTTCCAAGGTATTCCCTGGTTTTATCAGCTTGGTCATGATTTTTTTTTTTTTAATTTTTGCACGTATCCAGAATTTTAACAAAAGTACACTGTACAGGGAACCAGCAGTTAGTGTAATGGCTATGTCGCTGGACTCCCACGTAGTCGACCGCGGTTCGTGTCCCGGACCTGGTGGCTTAAAACTCACGCCAGGCGCGTGTGCATGCGTGCCCAAGATCCCGAGAGGAGAATGGAGGAGAAGGGATTGCGGCGTTACCATCCCCCCTGGGGGGTGATTTCTCGCTTTCTGTCTCTATGTCTCTCTCTGTCTGTCTGGCGAGCGCACGCGCCCTACAGTGAAAATCTCTCCAAAAAAAAATAAAAGAAAGAAAAAAAAAGTACACTGTACTAAAAATTTTTGTTCAGCCTAATATTGCTGAAAACAGAAGCAAAGTCAAATAACAATAATTGATGAACAGAGACAGCATCCAATTATTTTTGTAAGTTTGCACAAATAATGATTTTTCCACTGAAATTTCAGAGGGGTTTTTTTTGGGGGGGGGCGGGAGAAAAAGTTAATTTTACACAACCTACATTTGTAAATCAACCAAAAAAGTCAGCTACCCTAACTGAATAAATTGTGCTTCTCACATGAGTGGAAGTGATTTGCAGAGGGGCAAGAATGAAAAAGATGCTAATTAAGGGACTTTTGTGTTTTAAGTCGAGTAATTCTCAATTGGAACAAGTCCAGTGTACCCATCAGAATCCCCAAGGGAACTTTTAGAGTACTGTCCTTCTCCTAGAGATTCTGAGTGGGTCTGCGGTGGAGTCCAGGCATGGGCAGTCATCCTAAAACTTCCCAGATGTGTCTAATATGTGGCTGGAGGTGGGAACTGCTAGTATAATCAAGGAATGAGGCTGGTTTGAAAGCAGGTGGCTTCAGTGAGAAAGTCTGAATAGGTGGCTTATATTAACAAGGGAACACTGAAACCACCTATCTCTACAGCGATCTAAAGAACTAGTAGAAATAGCACCCTGTGGATAAAGACAGATAAATATTGAAATGACTTCAAACCCAGGCCAGCGGGTAGCATGGTATTTAAGGCACTGGGTTCCACATGGCCAGCATCCTGGTTTAAGTCAGCGAAAAACACCCAGATGAGTGTGCCTGTGTGCCCAAACATCCCAAGAGAAGAATGGAGGTGAAAGGATTGCAGAATGGCCATCCCCCTTGGGGGGTGACTTCTCACTTTCCCTTTCTGTCTTCCTCTCTCCATTAAGCATACGTGCTCTATGCTAAAATATTTTTTAAAAAATCAGAAAGCCAACCTGAAGGTGGTAAAACTAAAGAGAAACACTTCTTCAAAGTAATGGAATATATAAGAACACAAACCCAAATGTATGTATAATGTTGCCTGAGTGTAGGATGCTGTAACAAAATCCCTTAGGCTGGATCATTTGTAAACAATAGAAATGCATTTTCATAATTCTATAAACTGAGAAGCCCAAGTCCAAGGCACCAGCAGATCTGGCGTCTGGTGAAAGCTTAGTCTTCTTAGATGGTCTTTCTTGCGTGTGGTCCCACGGTGGCAGAGATGAACACGTGCTCTCAATCCCGCAGAGGGTACTGATCCTCTTCTCAAAGATGGAACACTAAGGACCTAATCACCTCCCAAAGGCCCCATTTCTTACCACCATTGCCTTGGTAATTAGGTCAACATACGAATTGGGGAGGGGAGGTGGGCATAAACATCCAGACGAGAGCAAAGCTATTTCCCTGTTCCTCCCACGTGGAATACTCCCCATACTTAGTACACCCTGCAGCAGACAGCATGCAAAAGAGGCATACGCACTATGGCTGGGAATCCTAAAATAAGGTGGTTTTTTTTTTTTTTTTTGGAGAGATTTTCACTGTAGGGCGCGTGCGCTTGCCAGACAGACAGAGAGAGACATAGAGACAGAAAGCGAGAAATCACCCCCCAGGGGGGATGGTCACGCCGCAATCCCCTCTCCTCCATTCTCCCCTCGGGATCTTGGGCACACACGCACACGTGCCCGGCGTGAGTTTTAAGCCACCGGGTCCGGGACACGAACCGCGGTCGACTACGTGGGAGTCCAGCGACATAGCCATTACGCTAACTGCTGGTTCCCAGATAAGGTTTTGAGAGTGAAAATAGCTTTTGATTAAAAAGGGAAAAGGACAAGTACTTTGCCCTTGCCAGAGCAAAGCGTTCTCACAAGGAGCTGTAGTGTACTGACCTCCTGCTTCTTTGGAGACTGGAGTTGAGTGGGAAATCAGAGCCCGGCTGTGCACACATTCCAGGGCCGCCTTTGAAGTACAGTTTTTAAATCAGCTCCCGGAGTTCCTGAAGGTCTATCTAGATGTTACTTTTATTCCTTTTGCTATGTTCAATCTATCCTTTTTTTTTTTTTAAGATAAAATCTCCCCCAAATCAGCAGCAACGAACAGGAAAAGCGGGTGGGGAGTTTACCCATAGCCACTTGCTTTGATACAGGGGTGAGAAGACAGGTGTAGTTAGGGGTGAAATGATGCTCCTTTTTACTTTTTGCATTTCCCTGTTGTCTCTCCCTAATTCTCCCTCCTCGTTTTCATTGTATTTTACTTTTCCCCTCTTCCCTTTCTATTTGCATTTAATCACTATTAAGCTAGTATGCTCTTATACATAATATAAATGTAAAGTTCTATTTTTAGTAAACCCAGAATCCTTTGTGGAAAGAACTCTTTTATGCTAAGGGGAACATTAAACTTAGTTGTCATGTTAGTAAAATGGCCATTAAAGTGACTCATGGAAGTCTTTCCTTTGTTTTTAGAGGTTTTTGCTATAGGGTGCGTGCTCTCAGTAAGACAGAGAGAAACAGAAAGCAAGAAATCACCTACCCCCCAACCCCGGCGGGGAGATGGCCACACTACAATCCCTTCTCTTCCATTCTTCTCTCAGAATCTTGGGCACGCACACACATGTGCCCTTTGTGAGTTTAAGCTGCCGGGTC